TGACAAACTAAAAAGCATGCTTACTTTTGTACCAATTATGCTACCTCTTGATTGTTCTTTACCTTTAGAATTAATGTGTGATGCCAGTGGCGATGCAGTACGAGCTGTCTTAGGCTAGAGACTAGAAAAGGAACCATATGTGATTTACTATGCCAGCAAAACTTTGAGTAATGCACAAATGAATTATTCTACCACAGAAAAAGAGTTGCTTCTTGTTGTGTTTGCATTAGATAAATTTCGTTTGTATTTAGTTGGATCCTCAATCGTTTGGACATAACAATTATGATATATCAATTGTGGTATACTGTCAAATTCCATTTTGTCACCTAAACATTTAACATCTCCATTGAATTAGCTATAATTGTCAAATATAGTCATAAGAACTTTGGTTGACTTTTGAAATACCGGTTGGAGTCGCTCTAAGAGCATATCCTATAAGAATTTCAAAATTAAAATGTCAAATTTAAATTTGAAAGCTTATTAGGTAATTTGACATATAGCATTTAACATTTCACCTTATTGTACTCCAAACAATATGTCAAAATAATTTATTTTATTATATCCTTATCTTTAAACCTATTTTGTTTGAAAGATTTTGCATTAAACACTTTTTTACTCAATAAAATATTGCATTTAAAATATTTGACATATGAAATGAGAAATGTCAAATTTGATAGTATGCCAAATTTTCCTTTGTCGACACAGCAATTGACATCTCCATTGGAGAAGGAAGAAAAGCCAAATATGCCCTTTGAGATGCTCCAACTGACATTTGACAGGCAGGTTGGAGTTCTAACCGAGTTTTTAAATTTCAACTAGATAACTCCGACGACTCTTTTTGACATCCCCACCTCTAACAATTTTATCAAATGTGCTAGTCAAATTTTGACATACTACCAAATATCTCATCTCTAATGTCAAATCATAACATATCTCAAATGACATATCAATTGAAGTGTAAACGTAACTACAAGGGAGATATTAAATGTTGTCTGTTAAATTTAAATTTGAAGGTCGATGTGGCAATTTGATATATAACATTTGACATCTTCATCTTACACAGTAAGGGAGATGTCAAATATTATATGCCAAATTTATGTAATGCATGAGAAGATAGTTGAGATATGCTAGGATTTGACATGAGAGATGAGATATTTGTGTTAAATTTGCCAAAATGCCAAAATTTAGCCAACACAATCAGCATTAACATAACACAATTAGCATTTGACATAATTGTTAGAGAAGGAAGGATTGTCAAAAAAAATCATTAGAATTGTCCAACTAGAATGTAACAACTCCGTTGGAGCTTCTCTAAAATAAAGATGTTAAATGATATTTAAATTTAACATCACAATTTTGACATCTCCATTAAAAATGTTATTAGACTCTCAAAACTTCCAATAATATTTTTTCTATACCTTCTTCCATTTTTTGCTCCCTTATTCACATCTAGAAAGGAGAGAATAATAAACTTAATTTTCATAATTTTTATTCAATTTATGTTTATTATAGTTTTAATTTTTATTTATGATGGGTCCAGTCTAGATCAGATTTAAATCACAGATGCAAAACAACAAAACTTCAATCACAATTTTAGTTAGACTAAGCCCACCGTCTTGAAAGACCCAATCTATTACTAGCGCATGTTGCGATTTTTTTTTTAGGAAAGGAATCCGCAAAATGCAATTATCAAGGTGCACATTGTCAGCTTTCTTTACAGAACCACCTTGCTCTCCATTACGACAATGACACTCAATCGAGGCTTATAATTTATAGGCAAACAAAGTTTTATAGAGGCTTCATGAGAGTCATAATTAAAGCGTTATTGTTGCATCTATGATTTAGGTCTGGTCTAGACCGGGCCCATCAACTCTAATAGCAATTCCAGGAGGGAGTGACATCAAGGGTAGCAATCTCATAATTGACAAAATGTCACCCAAAATTCAAAATTTTTCACTTTAACGAGAGTGACATCAAAGGTTGAAAAATGGTAGCATAAAGTAATATTTAATATTTTAACATTTTCCAACCTTTGGAGTGAAAATTTTTGAATTTAAGGTAACATTTTGACAGGTACATGTAATTATGGGGTTGTCACCCCTAATGCCACTCCCCCGAATTACTCTAATAACAACAGGGAATGAAATTTCAAAAAGAGAAAAAAAAAAAAAAAACTAAATCATCAATTCATGATCATGTGTATATGGGTTGTCAAGGTATGAATGTCTGAATCAATGTAGGAACGGAACAAGAAAGAAAAGGGAGTGTTCCATACCCTAAAAAACTGATCCAGGAGAGACTCAACTCTCTTATTTTGCGCCACTGTCTGAACCGAACGGCGTGTGTGCATATTGCTCCCCATTCCGGTTATTCAAGAGGCATTCCTAACAACAACACCAACAGAAAACAAAAAGCAATCCTACTTATATCTATGTACAGAAATTTTACATTTGATTAACACAGGCCTAAACACGACTCGTTAACTCGTTATACCAATCAAACAAATAGATCAACACGAACCTAATTAATCACATCCAGCAAAACACAACGTTATACCAATCAAACAAATGGATCAACACAAACCAAATAAATCACATCTGACAAAACACGTCGTTATACTGATCAAACAAATGCATCAGCACGAACCTAATTAATCACATCAGACAAAACACGACACCGTTAACTCGTTATACCGATCAAAACAAATGGATCAACACGAACCCAATTAACCACATCCTGCAAAACACAAACAAGACATGAACCCAACTATACACAAGAAAACACAAAAACAGGACATGAACCCAACTATCTATAATAAATAATGAAATAAGAATAAATTGAACAAATTTTCATACAACACGAGCTAGAAGACGAACAGAGCCAGTCCTAACCCATTGACAGACCTCTCTACACATATATATACACAAAGAAAAGCGAAATGTCCAAGGCTGCTTGGAGGACAATTGATGGTTAACAAAGAATCCCCTCAAAAAGGCCTCAGTAGTAATAAGACCCAGAAATAGACTTCTGGATCCGATCAATATGTGCCTCCTAACTAAGTCATATGAAACCCGCAAAATCATTCACATGGCTACTCAAAGAGGCATTTATTTAAATTCAAAAAAACTTCAAGAAAATACATAAACATATGGAGAGAGAGAGAGAGAGAGAGAGAGAGAGAGAGAGAGAGAGAGAGAGAGGCTTTTACATATCAATGTCGCCGAAAAGGAGAGTTCCTGTGCTGCTACAAACTAGGGTTTTAAAAGAAGGGGATTGCAGGGTTTCTTCTTGCAGTTTTAGATGGACATGATTATGTTTTGGGCTTTGGTAAACTTCAAAATTGGCCCAGGTAAGCATTAGGCGGGATGGGCTGGGCTGGGTTTAAGTCTACATTATTTGTCTATGATTTAGGTTGGGTGTGTGGTCCTAATTTTGTTCCGCCTCAATATGAGCATCCTATTTTTGACACCCTTACTTTTTTATTCTATTCGAATAATGTTATAAAGATCTAATTCAATGTAATAATTGAATTAATATTAGTATAATTACATAGTTTATAATTTAATTAAAGTTAGAACATCTTTAACTATGACTCAAATTTTTATTCAAATTTAAATTAATATTTGAATAAAAACTTGATTTGATATAAATGATTCCGATAGATAAACTCAAATTTAAACGACAGAAAGCCCAAATTTAAAAAGAAGTAAAGATAACTATTGGATTTTACAAAATAGTAAAATCTCACCATTAAATATTTGAATAAAAAAATAAATTTTTCCCTAATTTAGTGTAAATTTGAATCTAAGAGAACAAATTTTTTAAATTTGTTTACTCAAATTTAAATTTTAAGTAAGAGTTGAAAATACCCTTATAAGTGACAAATCAAATTTCCTAATCTTCTTGTAGTGTCAATTTTGAGTGCATCAAAAGAAAAAATGACACAAAACATAAATTAATTGGTATCTTGTCTAGTAGAAAAAAAAAAAGAAAGAAAGAAAAGAAAATGAAATTATTAAATGTCAAAAGATTAATAATTAAAAAATGATCCTATTTTTAAATAAGCCAAGGGTTGAGATTGACAGCTAGCATATTAGTGGCCGGCGATGTCCATGAAATATGACAACTTTTATCGGTTGTTGAGGACACCTAAATTCAGTACGATTGAATTGAAGTTTAGGGTCGACTGTTATGTTAGTTTAATTAAATTTGATTCTGAAAAGTGTTTCAGGCGTGGTCAAAAGTCTTATGACCTCACCGATTATTAGGATGATCGCTAGACATTTTTTTTCTTTACCCCCGCTCTTTCTTTAAATAGCCAAAAAATAAATAAATAAATCAACATCATTAGTCAAACTCAAAAAAATAATTAAATTACTTCGGAGAACTTGAAACAAAAAATTGTTTGAAAAGTCATACCAACATGAAAATCTCATGTACGATTCAATAAAGTAAAAATATGTATACTCTGTAAAACCCAATAAGCTCAATTGGATTTAGATTTATTATTAAGATTTAAGAAAAAAGGTCCCGTAATTCCTAGAATTGTCCATGCACTACCCAGTATATTTCACTAATTGCATTTACCTAAATAATTAGAAAACAAATTACTAAATTATGTTTCCAAATTACCAATATTTTAGATATCGTAGTTGACTCAGTAAATCACCTATAAACAATGTTGCAAGTGTAATCCCCTATAAACAATTTTATAGGGATTACACTTTCCCTAAAAAATTATTTATATTTTTATATATTTGTTAGATAGAATAATAAATTTATAATCTAATACGCTTCAAATAAATTATAATATCACTTTTTCACGTAATATTATATTCGATTTAATAGTACAAATATAACATTCATACGCATATTTGAAATAAATCTATACATAATACCCGGTGTTTTTGGCCAAAAAAAATAATAGTATAAAATTAAATTAAGGAGTTTTAATTTGTTATAATTCTCTAAATCATTTTTTTGATACCGTAACCAAACAACCCACACAAATTAAAAAACAAAGCAGAACAAAAGAAATATAAATCACATTTTTATAATTAAACAAATCCCAAGAATTTTATATGTCACAAAAATAATACCAGCAACATATGAACATGTCCAAGAAAACAATATTCAAATAAAGAACAAAATCAAAAATGAACACCCAACCAAAGGAATCATATAAACCCTTCTCTCTTCCTCCACCTCTCAACCTACTGACCCACCATGGTCAAGGCCTCATGAAACAGTGAAGAAAACACCATATGATCAGAAGAGAAGTCCAAAGGCAATGGCAGAGAGAGAAGCCAAAAGGGTAGGTACAAAAATGGTGGCATCTGAGGCAGGGCTTGGTGCTGGAGACTCAGCTGCAGCCACATTTTGCACTGCTGAAAGTGCCATCACCATCATCACAACAGCAACGAAAAGCTTCATCTTCATGGCCTCCATTGTCAAAGAGTTTTTTGAGCTTTTTGTTGCAGAGATTATAAAAAGTAAGAGAGAGAAAGAGAGAGAATGTGAAGGCAAGAGTGAAGACAGAGACGAAAGGGAATGAGGAGTGGGTAAGATATATAATGGTGGTCACAGGTAGGCTGCCCGAAGAGAACGTTGGTTCAACCACATGAGCCTTTTTTCGGAGATTTTGCTTTACGTTCATTTTTTTTAAAGGGCTGCCCGTTTGTTTTGACAGGGTGGCTTCGGCCTTTAGTGCCATACAGCTGTTGCCAACGGTCATGTGGCCCATTTTATGGGGTCCATTCATTTTTTTTTTGTCCTCCATAATTAATGCTTTAGTGGGTGACCTCTATTTCAAAGAGAAGAGGCAGTGTGAAGACTATTATACCCCCCACATTGAGCCATGTTCTTGGGTTTTTTCTAGGGTAGTGAATTGAGGGTAATTTTGTCATTTAAAGGAATTGTTGATTTTGTTCTTGGAGATATTTTAATGGGTAAGTTCATAGTTTGTGGGGTTAGCAATGAATTGTTGGATAGAAATGTGGGGCGCGAGCTGTTTTGGTTACCTTGATTTTC